CAGATGAGACAAATTATTCAACAGAATCCTTCCTGCTTCCCGCGTGCTACCAACAGATAGGCCGAGAAATCCTCAATTACTGCAGCAATTAGCCAGCACCAGGAGATTTATTCAGAATGTTAAATGAACCAGTTCAAGAAGCTGGTGGTCAAGGAGGAGGAGGAGGTGGAGGGGCAGTGGAGGAATTGCAGAAGCTGGAAGCGGTCATATGAACTACATTCAAGTAACACCTCAGGAAAAGAAGTATAGAAAGGTTAAAGGCATTAGGATTTCCTGAAGGACTTGTGATACAAGCATATTTTGTGTGAGAAGAATGAGAATTTGGCTGCCAATTTCTTCTACAGCAGAACTTTGATGAAGATTGAAAGGGACTTTTTTTGTATCTCACACATCACACCAGTGCATTACACTAACTTTGTTCACTGGATTGTCTGGATGTCTTGGTCATTTCACAATACTTGGTATAAAGTAGTAGATTGTCGGGTGGGAGGGAGGGATCTAGGATATAGGGCAGGGAATACAGTGCATGTCTGCTGCAATTAGCAGATGCCGCGTCCACACAGTGTGTAAAATATTATACAACCAAAAATCAGCTTTTGCAGGTCTTTATTTCTTCTATTAACAGTAGGTAACTTTTTCCTAGGTTTCACTCTTTTTAGTGTACTAGATCCAAAACTTAGTGTAATGCCCTGCTTTATATTTCTTGACTTAACATTTGTTCAGAAGAAATCTTTGCTACCTATAGGAGTCTCTGTTTCATGGCAAACTGGATAATGGCTTTGTGAAATTTTAAAAAATTTTGTAGGAACTGTAAACAGAAATGCCAAATTATTGATGGTTAATTTTCCAATGTATTTTTTCAGTCTAGTTTCATTTCCTTTCTCCAAGTCACCAGAATCTAATACAGAAATATTTGCTTGATTTACACTTCAGGATTCTCGTTGAACTAGTTTCTCACTTTCCTGGGCAATATTACAGGTCAAATGTCATACAGAGACTTCTCTGCTGTGTCACTCAATCTGTTTTTTTTCTGCTTCACAAAAAGTAAAAATTAATGTGTAAGGAAGCCCATTCTTTTTTTTTTTTTTTTTTTTTTTTTTTTTTTTTTTTTTTTTAGCTAACTACAGTGAAAATGAAAGGAAGCCCATTCTTCATGTTAAATATTGGGTGGGAGGGGAGAAAGGGAAATTTCTTAAGATGAAATAATTACTGCTATTTTAAAATTTCTTGATCATTGAATGTGAGACCCTTCTATACATGATTTGAAAAGCCGTACAAGAATAGCAGAGTTATTTTCCTGTTTACATTTTTTGTTTGTTTTTGGGAAAAAATTGGTAGGTGTCTAATTACTGTTTACTTCATTGTTATATTGCAGTAAAAGTTTTAAAACAACCATTGCATGTTTGCTTTGATGTATCCCTTTGTAAAATTAGCACTTTTTGGGCCAATGAAAATGCAGCATTTAATCTCCCTCCCTTCTCCTTCCCTCAGCAGAAATGTGTTTATCAGCAAGTCGTGAGTCAAACTTCTGCCTTTTTAAACCTACAAAATGCTGATTCAGTTCAAAATTAATGCAAATGTTACAAAACTGGGTTTCTGATATTTGAAATGTTTTTCTTTATTAGATAAGATGTATTACCATTAAAGTCATTAGTATTATATTGCCAAAAGAAAAGGACAGAACTATAATCCAGCATCTTTTATTGCATTGGAAAACTGGTGAAATCTCTTGAAGGGTGGAAGATGTGGCTGGGAATACTTTGGAAAATATACAATCAAGCTATCTCATGGCATATTAAAAGAAAAATCTTAATAGCAAAAAAAAAAAAAAAATGCGATTTAGAAAACATAAGAAAACTTGAAATGGGGAAAAAAAGGACAGGATTGAGTGACACAGGCAGAGAAGTCTCTGTATGACATTTGACCTGTAATATTTGCCCAGGAAAGTGAGAAACTAGTTCAACGAGAATCCTGAAGTGTAAAATCAAGCAAATATTTCTGTATTAGATTCTGGTGACTTGGAGAAAGGAAATGAAACTAGACTGAAAAAATACATTGGAAAATTCCAATAGAAAAGATCTATTTGATTCATTGGTCAAGTTAGACACTCTACTGACTAGAACATAAAGCTCTGTAACAGTTTTTGTCTAGCAGGTCTTCCGGTCTTTACTGGAAGGCCCTTAAAAAATAAAAAAATAAAAAAAACTCCAAGAAGGGAAGGGACATCTCATCGACTTTGGTATCCTACTCTTCAACAAGAGACTATATGAAATACTGAAATAATATTTGGG